TTCGCTTTGGCCTTCCCTTTGGCCTTAGCTTTCGCTTTGGCCTTCCCCTTGGCCTTTTTGGCCTTCCCCTCCGCCTCTTCCCCATCTGTAGGCTCATCCTCAGTTACATCACCATCAGTCCGAAACGGCGCTTGCAATTGCTCCCGCCGAAGAAGCACAGGCACCTGCACAAGGCTGGAGTACCGAGTTCATGAAAGGCGGATCTGTCAATACAATGATACACTAATGATGATAAACTATTGTATTTTTCATGAGGAGGCGAGACAGGCTAGCTAACTATCTCCAAAAGTTACCCAACCACACATAGGTTTTATAGTTTAAAATGCTGCCTGCTCCTGCAGCTCCATCATCTTCAGCACATCCCGATTAGCGGCATTCTTGGAAATAGTTTTCTCAACCTTTGCCAGATTGGCGCTGTAGCTGCTCTTGTCATGGGTGTCCATTGCGCTAGTCTTGTCAGCAGGAGTTGGATCTGACATGTCCCCCTCCTTGGGTGTGCCATTTGCTGCGCTGGCAGCAGCGGAATCTTGCAGTTCCTTTCAGGATCTCAAAGGTCAAAGGTACGAATGCTTTTTCTCAAGCCCTAAGCAAAGGTGTTGGCCACCTTGCCCCTAGCGATTGGATTCTACATTGGTAAAACATTATGTTTGAGCAAAGTCCTGGCTCTGCTCCTCCGATACTGCCATCTCGGCATCCCCAAGCTCCAAGTCTACCACCGAGCCGTGCAAGGCAGCAGCAGCTTGCAAAGCACTGGAGGCCGGGTCAGCGAGCTCCATGGCAAGGGTATCCATGTTGTCGATGGATTGTCCTCACATAACATTGCTTTGTTTGATTTTAGGTTTTCAGACAAACAGTAGAAAAAGCACTCAGGTTTGACCAAGAGGCCAGCAAAAAGAAAAACTAATTGTTCCTTTCAAGTGTTTTGTCAAGAGGCCACGTGAAAACGCCTCCGCTTTGCTCCGTTTGGCGGCAGCAGCCAGAAGCCTACAGGGTCCCAGTAAAAAGGAAATCTCAAGAAACAGAAAGAGATAAGTAAGGTCTGTTGGAAAACGATCAGAGTTTGCCAATACCTAACACCACTACAAGTGATTTTTTTTGGTAGCCCCCCACCGAACACGTCGCAACTTGTCCACCAAGTCATCCCTGATCTGGGACAGCTCCTCCCCAACCTCCTTTGGGTCTGGGCCAGCCACAGCACACTCATGAGGACCTCGTTCACCGCAAGCGGCGCAGGAAGTGGGAAGATCGGCAGTTGCACCTGGAAGATCTTCGGAATCAGCGGGGGCCTCACCACCGGTGATGGCTTGGGAATCATTCAGGTCCACAGGATCCACAGGTTGAGGGCCACAGACCTTTGGCTCATCATCCGGAAGTTGAGGATCAGTGTCATGGACCTGTTGCACCTCATCCGCCTCATTCACAGGTTCAGCACCACCCATTGCCATGATCATTTGGGGAAGGGATTGGCCACCATCAATCTCATCGTCATCCTCAAACCCATACGGGTCACCGTGTTCAACGGGAAGGGCATCGGCAGCCCCCCAATGGTGGTCAAAGATGTTCCACAACGGCGCCAAAACTGGATCCTGGGGCAGCGGAGGAGAGTGGTTGCATAAATCACGGAGTTGAAACAAGTCTGAGGCTAAATTAGACTCGCTGTTCCAAAATTGTTCAATTGGAATGCCGAGTATCTCGAGGTGCTTTACTTCCGGCTAGCCATCTCCGAAGCACGTGCGACAGCAAGCGCTTCAACCCCCAAGCATCGCAATGCAAAGCCCCTGAATCGGTCTCAAGGGCGAATAGCGTCCGGAAAGCGCGCACCTGCAAGGGGTGTAGGCGATAAACCAAGTTCAGGTTGGGCCTTCATGTGTTTATACTTTCCTTCCAACCTGAGGGACACCTTAGTAAACATGGAGCAAACTTTCCTATTTGATAAATGATACCAAACCCTCATGCTCGAATTTTGACCTTCAAGCAACTGGCCTCCTTCCTGCAAACATTGATTGGGATAGTTTGTGGCAGTGGCATTTGTTGGGCCCACCAATCAGAAAGATGAGAAAGAACTGCGATGTTCGGCTTGGCTTGTTCACAAGATGCCACCCCAGCTAGGGAAGGCTTCGTCCATCGGACCAAGTGGCCTTGTGCCGATTCCCTCACCAATTGGCGGACTATTGGATCTGCTTCCCAACGCGAGGCAAGAGACACCATAGCTGGCCACACTGCAAGTATTTTGTTTCCCGTTGGAAGCCTCAACCCTTGAGCTTTAAACAAGAACCGGTAAATTGATTCATGCAGCTCACATGTTTGATGGAGCCTGATGCAAACCAGCCGGCAGCACCAAGGTGAACGCGACGCTCCAGTGGCAGCAGAAAAAATGAACTGCTGCAAAGCTGGCGTGCCCATGTATGGGAAGGGAGATGAAGGAAGTAAGTGGTGCAAATTAATGGTCATGATTCATAATGGTGGCCAATAGTGTGGCCAATGTTTGTCCATGCCTACAACCTTTGAATTGTTCATGTTCTAGCCTTCCAGAAGGCCTCAGAGCCCACACAAACTATCAAAAAACACAGAAGACCAAATATCGCTCGAGAGCAAAAATGATTGCTCGAAGCAATCTTTATCCAAACAGCAGAAATTCTGCAGGTGTTGGATGTCGCAGGTATAAAAAGATTACTGCACATTTAAAAAAAGAAACAATATAAAGATCTATAAAGACATGCATTTTGGACTGCCCCCTTAAAGCCCCTGGCACAAACTACTGGACTTCAAACCTGCGGCTTGGAACGCGGGCGTCCCAAGTCACCCAGATCCAACCCATCCGTCCAGACGGGACAGCGTGTGTCGCTCCACACGCGGGGGCACACCGGGGATCCCAGAAGTAAAAAAGCACTAAAACACAACGACTAGGCGGAGTTCTCCCAGCGACTTGGCATCGACACTGTCGCTTTTTTGAGGTCGTAGTTTTACACGAATATGTTTCTCAATACTTAGCACTAAGATTGGGCAGTAGTGAGAGGTTGAATTCCCACAGTTGACGTGAAAGCTCGGCAGGTCTTCAGGATGTCAACCACGCAAAGCAAGTTCAACCTGCGTAATGAACGCAAGCTTTAAGGAACACCCTTTTGAACCATTTTGAGCCTCCCGTCCTGCTACCACATACGCAGCTGAGTGTCGCTGCAAAACCGGCTTGCATACTTAAACATGTTTTGCATCCAAATCACTGTTTTTTATGTGTTCATTATTTGCTGGAATCACCCTAATTTGGTATTAACACACTGTTACAAATGAATGACTTCCCGTCACATCCTCTAGCGCCGCTGATTCATCTTCCGTGCCTTGACATGCTGTGTGAGATCAGCCAATGCTTTTCGCCTCAGTGGCTCTCCTTGATGGAAGAGGGTCTACTGAGTCTACAGGCTTTCTGGAATGCAAAAGACACCGATTCATGCTGAGTGGGCCCAATTTT